ACCTCCCTGCCTACTCTGCTGTGTTGGGTACCTTGATCTCGCCTTTGCTGTTGCCTTTGTTTTTGTACGTCTGGCTGTCTGCCCATCTGCCGCCTTTTTGTCCTGTTTGCTCCGTTACTCCCATGCCCTGGTGCGTAGTGCCTGGTGCTAGCACGTTACCCTTTGATTTTTTCTTTGGGCGGGTGTGGGAAGCGTCCTCCTTTGTTTTCGTTATATTTTGATCAGTGTCCGAGGGATCTTTTCTCGAACGGTCGGTGCGATACCTGTTATTTTCTTTCTACCATTTTGTTTTCTTTTTCCGAGTGGTTTGTACCTTATTTTTGTTTTGTTTCCTCGCGGCGTCGTATGTGCCGGGTTTTGAGACCACGGGCTCCCCATTTTTTGTGGACTATAGAACCAATGTGAGAAACAACAACAACGACAACAACACGCAACACCTGTAATTCAGGAAAAAAACGGAAAATAATTGACAACACAAGGGATTTTTGTCCGTGAGCCACGGTGCGATGCCGTCCGCATGCTCCTGTTCCGCTGCTCCGGTGCCGCTGCTCCGGTGCCGCTTCTCCGGTGTCGCTGTGGCCAGTCCTAGTACGACCAAACTCGACCCGCTCCGCTTCGTACACGCTCTCGTTGCTGTCCTTCCCAGTCGGTTCCTCGCTTTCTCCCTCGTTACACTTAGGGTTCTTGGTCTGAAAATTCAAGCGCCGAAGGGTCGACCAGCCCAATCACCTCGTCACCACCTTTCCCCTCCTCCTTTGATGGCAAAGCTAAGTTACTGAGACAGTACAGCTCCCTCTAGCAAACCTAGGGCCGTGTACAGAATGCCCGTCCACCTTTCTGATGGCGTCTGCCTCCCCGCACGAAGATGAGATGGGCATTGCTGCCTACATCGACGGCCTGGAGGTCCGCGCATCTGCACCGTTGTACCTGACGCACTAGTGCCGACCCAACTCCACCACTAAACACGCCTCGCGGCGGGTGTGCCACGGCAAGAAGGTATCGGTCCCTTGAGGGTGAATCTAGCCCTGCTCGCTAGAAAGACCCCCCCTTCGCTATGGGTCATGCCCACGCAGAACCTTGCCGAGGCAGCGGGGAAGATGGTGGGTCTTATGCGTCTAGACGAATGCATTTGGGGGGTTAGACTAGCCTATGTCATTCATGAATTTTAAAGTGCCACACAATGACCTTTTTGGGACTGGGATTAAGCAGGTGTACCCAGCACTGCGCCTTCCCCCCTCCTCCCCTCCCCGGGGGAGGCCGAGGCCCGCAAGTGCAGTTAACCCTCGAAAAAACACCCAACAACGACGGATATACGGTCCCTAGCACCGTTTAGGAGAGGATCCTGAGTTTGGCGGTCGGGAGTTACCGCGGTCACGAGATCGAGGTAGATCGCGATAAGCCAACTTGGAGACAGCTGCCGATGGGTTTGAACCCAAATCCCCCGGTTTGGACGCCGGGGCAAGGCAGCAGTGGAGAGCACGGAGAGGGTGGCGGGATGATCGCACACC